TTTGTCATTCTGTCGGTAACGTATTGAATCGAATATTAGCATATTAATATAATAATAATAATAATAATAATAATAATAATAATAATAATAATAATAATTATTATTATTATTATTATTATTATTATTATTATTATTATTACGGCTATTACGATTATTACTAATATAAGCATCATCTTTATTAGTAACATCGCCGTCAATTTTTTCATCATCATTACTATCATTTAAATCATAATTGTGACTGTTATTGTAATTGCTGTTATTATTACTTGCTTATCGTTAGACTTATTGATATTGTTATTATTTTTGTTATTATCATCTTCATCACAAATTGAAAAAAAAAACCGGAACTGGGGCTGTAAATAAATCTTATCGTATATAAATAAAATATTATTAAAACATGTTTATTCCTCTTTTATTTATAATTTCAAACATCTCCATTCTTATTCAAAAACGTTATTCATAATAATGTAAATATATACAATGGCATTTGAATATCTATGTGATCACAAGTAATATTAAAAATAACTTACGAATAAAATTACACAGCTAGAAATATATATAGCACAAATCATATTGTCAGTTACGTTATATTCGGGGTATAGACTGCGACATTCTTCGATACTCAGCAAGAAACACTTCTATCTTGCAGATTGGTACCTTGTAAAAATAATGCATTGTTTAGGGCGAATCACCTGGGTGATACAGCTATCGACGTACTGAAGTAAATTTTTTGGAGTAATGATGATGATGTTGTTACCAAAACGTCTTACTGGTATGCTTATTCAAATGGAAGGACGACTGAAGCAATGTACAAAATTTCATTTTCGATAAACTAAAGAGTATTCGTCAATTATGGCGAAATACATGCAATCTGAGAAACTTGCGCATGCGTAAGCTGTTTGTTTGTTAATGTCGTTCGTGAAACATCGTGTTTACACTTTTGTGGGAATTGATTGATGCAGTTTGTAACACTATTTTATAGAATGCAGATAAGAAATACAAAATTGGAAGGTGTACACCCATTCGAATTTTGATTTGACTTTAAGCTAACATTCACATTCTGATTACAGTGAATAAATAATAATTATCCACTTCCTACTTAAACAGTTGTTTTTATAATGATTACGTAAAGTTATTAATTAGCCTAAAGTTATGATATATATTTTGTTTGCCTTTTTTTTAAAAGTCGTCTACGTAACAAAAATACACCGAGAGCCTAACTTTTCAAATGCACATTTGCATTCCTAGCCACATGTCCTATATGCCACCAATCAAGTGTAGGCCATTGAAGTATCTATGAGTATTTAAATAGAGTAAAAGCTGGTTGAGGTCATGAAGGGAAAGAAAAGTCTTCAGCTTGCACGATAATATGAAATTATGTGATTTTTAACTACATGAGCGTACTTTGTTGCTATATAGATTTCTAGTGAGGAACGTCTTGAGGGGCTAGCTTTTTTGGAAGACGTGTTTGCACCCACAAATGTGAAAACACACACAATTGTAACAACTCCCACAAATGTAACAGCACTCCGCCCACAAAATGTAATAATGCCCACAAATGTAACAACCAGCGCCCACAAATATAACAACCAGCACCCAAAAATGTAACAAACAGCGCCCACAATTGTAATAACGATCACGTGGTAACACCCACAAATGTAACAACAAAACATGACCTCTTCGCCCACAATTGTAATAATTTTCTTTTAACTTGGAATGATGAGAAAAGGCCTAAAAAATTGCCAAACCGCGCATTTTGTGAAAGAAGCATGACATTTTGAGTGTTTGATTCAGGGACGTATCCAGGGGGGGGGGGGGGCCGTGGGGGCCGCGGCTCCCCCCTTTGTACACAGTGTTAAAATGTTAAAGCTTATTCTTGAGCCAATACAAATTCTTTCCTGGGATCACTTAAAATAAATACTTCTAAACATGTAAATATGCATCAGTACACGTTATACATAGGCCTAATAGAACACATAAGCCTAAAAAATCTTGAATCCATAAATCTCAGGCCAGGTCTTTTAAGATAGAAATGCGATACTGTGGTTCAATTTCGTTTTTATCCTTTTGCAAGTTTCTTTAAATGTTTGTTTAATACTACTACTAATAGTAATAATAATAATAATAATAACAATGATGATGATGACGATAGTAATAATTGATATTAATATTAATAACAATACAAAGTGAAGAAAATTGTACTAAATGCGAAAAAAAGTTGTGATTTGTTGATCATAATATAGCATATATAGTTAAAGCTTAGTAAGCTATAATGAGGCCTAAGTTGTCCTGGATATTAAGTAGATCCCTGATAAAAGATCATGAGAAATTTGTTGGCGTTTCATTTTAACTATAATGGTAATGTGATGATGATAAATTTTACTATATAAAAGTGTCATTTCCGGCCATTTCGAGAGGTACTATTTCCTCAAATTTTCTCACCTCAGCCCCAGCCATGAAATTTGTTGGCGTTTCATTTTGACTATAATGGTAATGTGATGATGATGAATTTTATTATATAAAAGTGTCATTTCCGGCCATGGTGGGGCTGAGGTGGTGGTTAAACCACGTTTTTAAAGTAGGCCTATGTAAAGTACATACTCAAAGACAATGTTTTTAAGCTTTGTATACACACACATTAATAAGATCTCTATGGTTGTCAAAAATAAAAGATCATGAGAATTTCTTTAGGCGCTTCATTTTGACTAATGGTGATGTGATGATGATGAATTTTATTAAAAGTGTCATTTCTGGCCATCTAGAGGTATTATTTCCTCAAATTTTCTCACCTCATCTCCAACCATTGTGGGGCTGGGGTGGGTGTCGACTTACAAAATGTCCTCCCCCACCACCTTTCAAAACAGATCTGTGCCCTTCCCTGGGTATGACATTAAACTCCATCGAGTCGGCTCCTGATGTATGTAGTGACTGCTGTTTGTTTTTAGGATGTGATCTGGTTTTTCATGTCCATTTTTCGTGATTATGACTATTCTGGATAAAGAATGTTTTGAGCAGAGGTGGATTTAAGGCACTCCCCCTCCCCCCTTCATTTTTTAAGGAAAAAAAAGGAAAAATATATTCAAATTGAAGTGCGAGAGTGTAATTTCCGGCCATCTAGAGATGCCCTAATCATAAATATTCTTACCTCAGTCCCAACCATGGTGGGGCTGAGGTGAGTGGTTCCTCTGTCTGTGAAAGTCCCTCCCTGGTTTACCTCTCTTTCGAATTCCTGGATCTGCAACTGTTGATTTATTATATAATTATTTTTTCGCTTATTTATAATGCGTCTATTGCAATTTTCACTTTATCCTCTCAAACAGTCCTAAGAGCGTTCAGAGTGCGCTACTTCACAGGGGGATTCGCCCCCTTGACCTCGCCGGGGTCATACGTAATTCGCATAACGGCTCCCCCCTTTCAAAATCCTGGCTACGTCCCTGGTTTGATTTAAAAGGCGTACGAACAACAAAAACAGTGCAGAAGAGTAATTTTTCTAAATGTCTCCGGGAGAGGTTAAAAATTTAAGATTATAGGAGGAGTACATTATGTGTCAAAGGTTATGTTATTTTTGGAAATATATCTCATTGGAAGAAATAGAAACATGTATATAGACCTACTGAATATTTTGAAAGAAAATTAACTTATACGACCAGCGGTTGTCAAGATACGGATGCCCTATAAATTATGTCCCCAAATAATATGTATAATCAAGCTAACTTGCATATTATATAGGGTATGTGACGGAGGTATACTTTTTGCAATTCACTTTCGTCTAGTTATCAAAACGTTTTCTAAACACATTTTTTTGTCATTTCTTGATTATTAACTTGATATTAACTATTTCTTGATAATAACTATGATTATTGCAAAAAAAAAAGAAGAAAATATGGCGACTATTTTGAAATTTCGAGCTTATTCGAGTGAATGCCACTTTTTTTTTTTAAATTTTATAGATCTCCGTTCCACAACCTATGGGTCCCGAAGTAATTTTGATTGATCGATTTTATGGAAACGGAGAGTCCATTTTTAAACATCTGGGAGGGGTTAAAGGTCTTTTGAGGTCCAATATTGATTTTGATAGTAGGTCTAAATCATTATGTTCATTATGCATGCTGCAAAAATGGTATATTAGTTAAATGTGATGGAGAAGCTTACCAGATGTGACGACAGTTTTCAGATTATTCCATGTCAAATGTTATTTCAAGTCAAATGCTAGAAAACGTGATATTATGTAATGGTACATGCAGTTAGCAATTATGTTTGAATCTCTGTCGTTCATGGCATTCGCTCAAATAAGCTGTAAATTTCAGAATACTAGTTGTCATATTTTTATGCAGTAATCATAGTTACGGAAGAAATAACAAACAAATGAGTTCAAACGTTTTGAAAACTTGACAAAAGCGAAATTATACCTCCATCACACAGTGCCCCATATAACATGCCAGTTAGCTTAATTATACAAATTAGTTGGGAAAATATATAGGGCATCCGTATCTTGACAACCACTGCTGCTCAGCCACTTGTCGGAAGTTAATTTTCTTTAAAAATATTCATTAGGCCTATATATGTGTTTCTATTTCTTCCAATGGGATATATATATTCCGAAAATAACATAACCTTTGACACATAACATACACTCCAAGACCCTTTGACATTTAACCCCTCCCAGACAGTGTGTGTAACTATTATATATGAGCCATTGCTAGATTAATTTCAACCGTTGAATGGACAGGCTCTGTTACATATACTGCACGAATATTGTAGCTGACTTATATATAAGTCACGACTTACATGCACGTAACTGTAAAATCATAATCTTACCATATTCTAAAGGGAGTCCCCATCCTGCTGCATAACACAATGTACCTGGCCGATATTCCAAGCTTTCATAGCAAATTGGTTGAACAAAGATATTAAATTGTAGCGGTGAATCAAGTCTAAGTAATGCATAACATTATCATTACTAACGGCATCATATTCTGGATGGATGATAGTGTCGGCAATAAGGACACTTTCACGAAACACAGAATTATCGCCTGAAGTTGTTATTCCTGCCGTAATAGTATTAAACTCATCACTGGAAAAGGAAAAAAATACTATACTCATGTACCGTCGTACCGATATGATATTTTTCATACATTTTAGATGAATCAAGAGTTATTGCAATTGTCTGTAATTTTATCATTTATTTTTGTTAGTAGTGGTATCATCTCCCCACATATGCTACATAATGTCAATAAATTTTTTGCTCACTCTATTTCAATGAAATAATTCACCTTCATTATTTAGTGCTAGCTAAAGCAAATTTTATCGGTTCTTACCGGTACCTACGAAAAAACGTTTTACTGTATTATATACAGTTGTAACTTTAGCAAATATGTTCGATGACGGGCTTATCTATACTTCTTGCTCTATTTTACTGACAATAGACGATGCAGAGCATGAGGGTAGGCCTAGCTATCGGCAATTCGATAAAAACTTATCCAGCAATGTTTGGAAAACATTTAGGTTCGTGGTCGGACAATGAACATCTTCTAACGTTTGAATCTTGTCGTTTTTATTAAAATGTTGATACTTTATATCGAGAACATTTATGTTGTAGAGTTTTTATGTTATTATTGTACCTTAAGTTTAATTTGGCAAATGTTTACATTTTCTCAAAAGCGTAAGTCTACATGTGTCCACATAATAATTAATAGCATTACTTAAAGCCTGTTAGTAGCGAGCAGCGGCTAGGATTGATCAAGTGATGCTTCACAAAATTTACTGAAGAAAAGTATGAATCCTTTATACATCAAGTATAAGACCTATTACTTGAGACGGTGCCGTTATATGAAACCCCATCTTAAAACGAGATATCACTAAACTAGAAAAGGTGCAGATAAAATGCAAATCCTCACTATGTATAGGCCTACCAAACATTTCGATCTTAGAGGTCACTCCAAGCAACTTCAGAAATTAATGAAGTTGAAAAGGAATTTCTAGGAAAAATAGTTTTTGACGGCTGCAATAGTCTACGGCTTTGTATTGTATCTGCACCAAATTTGGTATCTTTTAAAAAGACCGTTTCCGATGAAAAAGGGTCAAGCAATAAAGTATATCGTAATACATTTTCGTTCAAAGTTTTTTAACCAAAAATTCAATACATTATTATCTTTTGAATTAACTTTAGGTAGTTTGTTGATATGAGAATGAAATGATTAATATTTAAGGGCAGACAAAATGTGAAACAATATCTTACACGCAGTGAGCAGCAGTTATGGCCCATCGTTCGCTGATTAAAGAAGCACCACAGCTAAAGAAAAGCCTATCATAGCTCCCATACAAAAGCACCCAGGGCCAATCTCCCGGATGTGAGTCTTCAACACCAACAATTCGAAAACTGCTTACTTGAGTTGTTGCATTCCACATACAGTAACAGATGCTAAAATGATTAATTATCAAACTTTTAATTTCAAAATAGATGGTGAAATATTCTAAATAGTTAACACGCTAATTAAAAAAAATACAGTATATCTGATAATAGTTTGTATTTTTCAGATGGAAATATTATTTTATATAATTATTTTTAATATATATTTTTAACGTTTATGTTAAATGTTGCTGTTATTAGTACTGTGAGTCTGAATGCCGAGCGGTTATGGTAAGGTACACCCATAATATCGTCGATGATTCGAATGGCACAATCGCCTGGTTCCGGTAATGGAACACGTCTCCTCTAACCCAGACGCTATGTTTGTATAAATGGTCTGAGTCTCCGATAAGGACTATAAACCACAGGCCCACTGTACACAATTCGGCTTATTGAACTTTAAAGAACTCTGTACCTCTTTCGAGACGAGAGGGTTAACCAGGTGTATTAGTCCATACAGCCCCTGTTGTTTACAGGCGAGAGCTGGTAACGGTACGGTACGGTACGGGGTACCTCAGGCACGAAGAGATCCTTAGAGAGAAGCAAGTTATAGAGCTTGGAGACCGTTTCGGTTGAAGTGTTATATAAATTATAAACTAAATTACATTAAATTATATTATTATCACTATTACTAGGCCTATTACTAGTATTCTCATTATTAAAAACAATATTTATCATTATCCATAGTATAATCATTTCAGTTATTATTACTTCATGTATTCCTTGTGGAAAAATAATAAAATATTATACATAGTTATACTTAAACAAAAACGGTCGTTGTGCCGACAATCATTCTACAAGAAAGAGCACTGCTGTTAGATACTCACAATTGTAGCAACCTAATTCATCTGACCAGTCACCACAATTGTTAATCCCGTTACAAATTCTTGTGTTACTTATGCACACGTCATTTGGGCATTTAGTCCCATTACAACCTGAGAAAAATACATAAAAATGTATGTAGGCCTATAAGAAAATATAGAGATAACAATACTAGACCTACTGCACTTGGCCAGTTTAGGTGTCACTATAAAAAGAGGTTTACGATTTGGTCAGCTGCTTATTACACATTTTCTTAATTAGTTGCACGATATATAAAGCTGTTAAAAGATTAATTTTAAACTTAATTTCTGTGTAAGTATTACTGCACTTTGTCGTAGCATCAATGGAAGGAAGCTGTTATTGTTTGTATTTGCTGCTGTTAAAACGCCGCAAAGTTATTTAGCTATTTTATATTTTCTATAAAGACCGCTCGCAGTGATGTGTTTTTATTCCGTAGTTTATTCATATAATGGAAGGTGGCCTAAGCTTGTTCAATCGATGGGTGCATTAAGTAGACATACATTTCATTGCAATTGAAGAACCTTAAAACAAAATGATAAAAATCTTTAAGTCTGATACCGTACGCTGTTGGAGAGGTAGCCAATGTAGATTTCTAATTATGCCATATGGTCATGATGACTATAGCATATCATGACTATAAAAATATAGTCGTAATATGCGCCTACAACATTATTCTGTCAAGTGGTCCACGAATATATTCAATATAAACAATATAAATTTTAAATAAAGAGCGAATTGCCAAATGAATATTGCTTCCATGGGTCTACTTAAGTCTGCATGTCTTGAGTCTCACTTAGGCTCTGACTCAGGTTTAGACTTGAAAATGCGGTTTTCTGGAATGAATGACAAGAATCCGATTGGTTAGTACTTTTAGCTGATTATCTTTACTGTATCACTGGCACAACATATACACACATACATACACACACATATATTTATATATACAACATATACAACATTATATATATATATATTTTATATATATATAATATATATATATATTGTTATCAAAATTAGCGTTAATATAAACATTGTCATCAACATAATAAGTTTACTTTTACAGTATCATTATTATTGTATAATTTTTAAGGTTTTTGACTGATATTAATGCTCTCAGTTCTGTTTTATTAGTATCTATTTAATAAGCAAACCATATTTCAAATAAAACAAATATTATACTGCATTTTTTATTAGACCTATTATTTTTTAACCATAAAATAATACAAGTACAAGTTTATATTTAAATTGTTAATATTTCAATTTGAATTCCACTGCTCACAGTTAAGTGGTTTCAGTCAGAAACATTAAAACATAAATCATAGTGCAATGTACAGAAAGTAGAACTTTAAATCATAATCAAAATATATTGTCTGTAAACATAACAGACTAGCGAATGGAATGGTAATAATTAATATGAAAATAATGACACAACACGAAATAATATAATATTATTATTATGAACCATTCATTTGGATCAAATATAAATTAAAAAGAAAACCACCCATCATGGCGTTAGTTGGTAATCGTGACGTTGTTCTCATCCATTTTCTGTATGTGTCATTTGCGACCGGATTCTCTTCTCTATCCAAGACGACTGTACAAGGTAATTCGAGTTAGGTCCTACCTGCTAGCCCATCCCCCCCAACCTTCCGCTAGAGTAGGCCCCTAGGTTCCTAGGCCTGACACAAAAGTCACGCTTAGCATGCCATTGACTGAAATTTTGAAAACAAAATTAAAATAGGACAGTGACTAAAAAAATATTAAAATTAAATATATCACTCCGGCATTAATGAACGTTGTTATCATTAGTTATTCTAGGCCTATATACGTTTGTATAATTTTTATTAATATCATTTTAATATTGTTTTTATTATTGCAGTTTTAATTATTGTAAGTGCATGTAAATGAAAAGATATAACAAAGGCAAAGATTTAAAAACACTTAAATTTTGGCTTTGCATTTAAACCTCTTGGTAAATATTCAATAAATACCGTACACAGTAAATTGGGACCGAGTTGACTACTTGGGGCCGAGTTGACATGGGGCCGAGTTGACATGGGGCCGAGTTGACTCGAATTCGCCATGACATAGGCCTAGGTTAAATAATTATCCAAAACCGTGGCCAACTAAAAAATGCTCACAGTATAACTCAAATTCAAATAGGGCCTTAACACTTTTTACTATTCATGCAGTGAAATCAAATAATACATATTTCGTTTTAAACGACCCATTATATTAGCATGACAATGTTTTTTTTTTTCTTGTTTTTTTTTCTCAAAATTAGACAGCGAGCAGCAATCCTGTATCTCAGAAGTTATGTGGAGGTTTTTCTTTGGTTGATGACCTTTTGACCTCCAGAATTGAGATTATCGAGTTGAGTCAGTCGAGATAACCCGAGTGGAGTTTTATGCAAATGTTTCGTACAGGAAAAAAAAAATCGCGTCCCGGACACAACCAATGCGATTTGAACGTCTAAGTAAAGCGATGACTACGAGTTCCTTGAAAGACAAACAAATCTTTCGAGCACGACTTTCGGAGCTTCTATGCGTAAAGCATGTTTGTTACTAGAGTTACTACGGTAGTTCATGTGACCAAGTTGTTCTGATCATGTGGTATTTATATCATGGAACCCTATTGTATGGCCATCTTTAAAGGAAAAAAAAAGCATATTTCTACCTAACACCCATCGATTCGATTGAATAGGGCATAAGCATTGACCACCGCACGTTATATGAATAATACACACCGCTACATGGAGAGCGGTCTATAAACACACAACATAGCTAAATAATGTAGCGGCGTGTTTAGCAGCGGCGAATACAAAGAATAACAGCTTCCTTTCAATGATGCTCTGTCATAGTGCAGTAACATATACAAAAAAAGTTAAAATGCATTAACCGGTTTAAGAATTTATACCTCCTCAGAAAAAAAAAAAACATGTACTCGAAAATAAGATTTAGTTGTTCAATTTACAGAAGGCCTGAATTTATGTACTGGCAGTTTATAAAAAACACGAGAATTGCTAGGGACGTCGAGTGAGTTAGTTATCTAAACCATCAGAATATCTGAGCAAAAGATGTAAAGCTATTTTCTAGAGAAATTTTAAGACGCAGTAGTATACTATAGGCTACTAAACGGTTGATAAATCAGATGAAGACGTTCTTTAAGCTGCCGAAGAGAAATCGACATAGACAACCTTCACATGCTTGTCCACGAAACAGTTGAACTTTAACATTCAATTGTATATGGCACAATTAACTTTTCATGATGAATTCAACAACTAAATTGAGTCTTCCTAAGTTGGAAATCATAACTCGTCGTTGAAAGCAAATTTATCATGGATTGCTTTTGTCAGTGTGGTGTTTGAATTTGTTTGGTTTTCAGAAAGTTGGATTAAGTTGTTTGATTTACATGCAGTGCAGTATAACATTGAGTTTAACATACTTGAAATAAACTTGGCAACACATGTTGTTATAATCGTCAAGTATATAGTAATATTATGGTTACATGAATTATAATTTATATTATAGCATTTTCCATACAGTAAATAAATGTATATTTACAATATTTTTTAATGAAAAAATGCTGCTTTTCTGGCAACAGTAGCACATATCCTTAGCATGCTGTTAAACTAGTTAGGTAACTATATTTTTGGTAATGAATTATATTATACAGTATTTTATAGCGTTAGTTGTTTAGTAAAAAGATGTATATTTACCTTAATTTTCAATTTTCTGGCAATACAGTACAAACTTAAGATTTGATATAATTAAAATGAGCCTGGCAACACATTTTTTAACATGTTCTTAGACTATTATGTAACTATAGTAACAATATTTTGAAATAAATTTACGTTGATTTCTAGTGTTTTCCATTTAGTAAAAAATTGTATATTTTTTATTGAAAAACTACCGTTTTTTCTGGCAATACCGCATTTACGCGTGTAAATTACCCACAATTCTTTTTTTTAATTATTTTTTGGACAACTATTGAATATCAAAATATGGAAGATGGTGGATATGTTTGCACCACTTTGGAAGTTATATATATGTTTCTGAGGCATACTTTTTAAAATAATATATTTTGAGAAAACCCCCTTTGTAAATAATGGTATCTTCCAAACAGAATTGTTTACACAATTTTTTTTTTTAGATAAATGGAAGTTAATACCTGGTTATTTACATGGATGATCACAAAAATATATATACTGCATGTTCTTTTTTTTTAATAAGGTCTGAAAATCAGTGTTTTTTCACTTATGAAAATGTCCAAAATTGACAAAAACTGTAAAATTTAGATAATGGGTCGTTGCCACGACAAAGAAGGCTAAAAAAAATAAACAAATGTCATGTATATGCTTTTTACCAAAGTATCTATTCATGGTAAAAAATTGAGAGAAATCCATTTTTTGACGTCTGCCACCAAATCTTTGATTGTTATGGACAACCATTCTTAAGCCTCAATTAGTTTACTAATTAGTTTACAAAAAGAGAAAAAGCATCTTTTTGTTATATGCATGGAGTTACTGTATCCATGGTGTATCTACTGTACAGTATGAGGAAAGAACAAAATGTAAAATACTGTATGAATACCCTCAGAAATGATTTTTGATGTTTACTGATTACTACTTTGGCGTATTACTTACTTTCAGCAGTCTTTTCATAAGGTGACTGTTTGTCGATATCAGGTTGATCAAGTCTCAGGATCCTCCATGTTTTTCGGTTAATACAATAGATTGTTCTGAACAATTTTCAGTAAAAACATCCTCGTTGGCAACTTTGAACCAAAATTCTTTTGCTTTTATTCTGCACTGTGATCTTCTGCCATTAAAGTAGAATGAGTACAGTAGGTAAGAGTCCATCTCAAAAGATACCGTATTAATTAGTAAGTCCGATATATGGAATTCTCAAAACAAGTCCAGACCAATGGAGTCTCACAGATGTTTTTCAACACTCCAAATCAGTAGTATTCGCCAGTCCTGAGAACATCGATATTCTTTTAACAAAACATCGTTCCAAAACAGCGTTGATGGAAGGTCTTTAAATGCACTTTGTCTGTATTTGAGTTGTATTTCAAACCTTTCACTTATATAATGTCAGTACAGCTATGTAGATGCGAATCTTGTAAAGGTTTGTATGTTGTGAGTGTTCCATAAATTTTTTAAGGATAAAAATCAAAAACAACAAATTATATTTAAATACGAATATTCCTCAAAAAC